GGGGCCGATGATATTTGGTCATTAACAGGCTGGGATGAAGGGCTACCAATTTTGTCAAAATGAATGACCTTTGCCCATATTCAAGGTCACAGGGGTCAATATATGTTTAAATCTTTAAATGACTTGTTCTGTATAACCAATAGGTCCAGGGTTATGATATTTTGCCAAAAGCATGCTGGGTTGGAAGACTTTAAACTCTGTTCAACCTAATGTTCTTGTTCGACATTCAAGGTCACAGGCGTCATATGTTTAAATCTTTTAATAGGCTTATATGAATCAAACACTGATATTCTTCCTGTAGCTGCATTTTAGTCCACTTTTAAGATTACAAGTGTGAGATTAATACCAGGTGAGTGATTCAGGCCCATTGGGCCTCTTGTTCAAAATGTCAACTTGAACGAATCCATATAAATATATTTGGGTGATTGATTGGTGCAGTGGATAGCACACTTTCCTTTCACCAAGGCGGCCAGAGTTTGATTCCCTGATCGGACATGAAAAGGTATGGGGTCACCTGCCTGACCACATGGGTTTTCAAATTGTACAAATGGTGGAGCTGACCCCTGTTGGGGCTGAGGGGCGGGGCCAAAAGGGGGCAATTTGGCTATATTGCTATAAGCGTCTTCTTCTCTGGAACTAAGAGATGGATATCAACCAGATTTGACTGGAAGCATCCCTAGGTGGTGGGGATTCAAAATTGTACAAATGGCGGAGCTGACCCCCCAGGGAGCTGAGTGGTGGGGTCAAAAGGTGGCAATTTGGCTATATTGCTATAAGCGACTTCTCTGGAACTAAGAGATGGATATCAACCATATTTAGCTGGAAGCATCTCTAGGTGGTGGGGATTCCAAATTTTTTTTTTTTTAATCCCCCAGGGGACCGAGCGGTGGGGCCAAAATTGAGCAATTTGGCTATATTGCTATAAGTGACTTCTCTAGAACTAAGAGATGGATATCAACCATATTTGATTGAAAGCATCCCTAGGTTGTGGGGATTCAAAATTGTACAAATGGTGGGGCTGACCCCGCAAGGGGGCTGAAGGACAGGGCAAAAGGGGGCAATTTGGCTATATTCCTATAAATTACCTCTTCTGTAGAGATGTGCCATGGATATTGATCATATATGGTAGGAAGCATTGAGCATTCATGGGAGGCAGGGTTCAAATTGTACAAATGGAGGGGCTGAGGGGCGGGGCTCAATAGGGGAAATATATCAAATTCTTTAAAAAAAACTTCTTCTGTAAGAATGAAAGGATTTAGTCCATATTTGGCCTGAAGCTTTCTTGGGTGAAAGGGAACCAAAGATTTTGTATAAACAGTGGGTTCTTTTTCACACAATGCTTAAAGTGCTGGACTGAGAGGTACAAAATACCAAAATCAGTTCCTATAAAACATACTGATATATCTGATTAAGTACATGTATGCTTTCTTAAAGGGAATTTGTCTAATTCAGAAATGGTTCAAGATTTGGTATATGGAAACAGCCATCAAAATCATAGATATTTTTCAAACTAAATAATTTTTGAACTTTTTTGAAATAAAAAAAAAATGTATTTATTGAAGTATCTCTGAAATTAAAATTGTCACCTTACAATTTTCAATCCTGCAACTCAATGCAATTACATTTAGTAAACACAAATTCTGCATGTTGATTTTCCATTAAGTCCAGAAAATCTGCTATTGAAAAAATTATAAGTTTGATAACCCGCCAAAGAAACAAAACATTGTCTAAGTATGAAATCCTGCCAAGAACAATTTCAAAGTGTATAATTCCGCCAAAACCCGCTAAGTGAAAATTACCAGGTGGATTTTTAGATGGAATAGACTTATGTGGTTAGCGGAATATAGACGGGATTTTCCTTTTTTCCATGTACGCCAAAAGTCCGCCTTTGAATTTCCCATTTTTAGCGGTTTCCGCCAATAATCCTAGCATATTCTAGGTGGAATCCGCTTAAGGGTTTCATACAGGAGGGACTTAATGTAACTATTTTTAGAAAAACAGCAAAGTGCTCTCCTCCAAATGCAGGTCTTTCCTCTGTACAATGTTCATATGTTCCATCCTGTTTAATGATTAAAACATTACCTAGCATCTAATGTAACAACTAAGGACTTTTATTTCGGATGATATGTGGTTATATGGACCCGAGAAACTGCAGATATTGACCGAGATGAAGGTCATTTTCACTTTCTCAGGTCCATATAACTCTTTTGACCACATATTCACCTCAATAAAAGTCTCTTTAATTGATAATGATATGAATGGTCATGCAATGAAATACTGCAATAATCATTTATTGATTTTAAGTAAATTTAAGTAAAGATAATATGATATTCCTAAGATGAATTAATTATCATTCCAATCATGATCACTTATATGAGCAGAACAACAGACTTCACAAGCACATTACACTAAGACAAAAGTTACCTTACAAAATGATTTTATAAGTAATAAGTGTTCAGGTGTCCAAGTCAGTAGGGGTTTAAAATTGTACAAATGGACAGGCTCATCCCCCTAGGGGTGTGGTCAAAAAGGGGTAATAATGGCCATATAGCTTTAGGCAACTTCTTCTCTGGAACAAATTGATTGATATCAACCAATTGAAGCATTAACAGGTAATAATGATTCAGAATTGTACCAATTTAAGGGCAGACCCCTAGGTCTGAGAGGCGAGACATTTTTGTTTAACTTCAACATTATGGAGATCCCAAACTTATAAGCAGATATACAATTGCTAGCTGGGCATCAAGAAGCAAACACAGTTATGATATGAGAATTCACACTTGAGTCTGGCCCCACCCCTCAAGGCTTAATATTCCAGAGCCATGCATAACTTTGAAACAGTTGAAATCCCCACCCTATAACCATATATACTATTGCTGGGCATCACGAGACAGACACAATTATGATATTAGGATTGACATTTTTATTTTAATATATAGATTATTTAATTACTAAGTAAGACTTTGATATTACATATTTCTGAACTGATGAATCTTATTGAAGATACAAAATTTATAAGAATTTACTATGGACAGGCCATAGTCAAAAACTATAGGCATTTAGAGGATTTGAATAGTGCATTGTGTGAGAAGAAAGTAAAACTTTGATATAAAGAACTGACAATGGTTTTTAATTCTGTAGATGAATTTATATGGTTAATGCAGATGCTGAATATCCCATTCAAACTAGCGGAAACTGTATTTCTAATTCTCAGACACCGGCGTCAGTTTTTGCATACCGAACACTTTTGAATATTGTTTTAAATAATTATACATAATATAACCTGTACATTGTAATAATGATAGATAGTGTCTCATAATGCACACAGTCATTAGATTACTATGTACAATTAAGCGTGATTCAGACCACTCACTCTCCCCAGAATTTCGGTTTGAGCCCCAGTCATGGCGGAAAAAGGGAGTAAAGTTGAATGAAAGTTAAGGTCGGCGCAGATTTTTTGGTTCACATGTTTATTTCCACAATATGTGGAACATGAAAACCACCTATACAGACACAATACAATTGATTACATAATGAAACACAGCGCTTACAATTTAAGTCCTAACATGATGTACATTCAGTGAGTACCTGTTGAATACGTTCACACACAATAAGTTAATTAAAGCAGGAATAATACTAGGACTGACTTCATCATAATCAATAGTAGAAATTACTTAAACATTATTATATTGAATACAATTATCCTTATCAATTAGCACTTGTTTACATGATCATATACAATATTAAAATACCTACCCCAACTATGGGTCGGGGGTTTACACAGAATGACCTGTACCTGTATGAACCGTTCTCTATAGAAAACTCTATTGTCTCTGTAAAAGAGACACATAAATCACGACACAGTGATCGCACACAGCACATGTATACCACATGTATACCACACATGTATACCACATGTATACCACACATGTATACCACATGTATACCACATGTATACCAAATCAGCACGATATCCGCAACGCAAAAAATAATTTAATTTAAAAGCACCTTGCCATATTTTCCGGGTGGAAAAAACCCTGAGGAAAATAATTTACCATTAACCAAAACTGGCATGACCTAAAAACTGACTGTATCACTAGTAAAAGATTCACCAGGTATAATAAGTGTATTTGATAAACTGTTGTGAATATTTGTCCACAAGTTTCACATATAGTGCAGATTCGTGTACAGGTGTATACATTATCTCATCCGAGTCCTTTTCCTCATTTTTCCAGGTACAATAAAGGAGACACCTCAATGGAGGAAACAGGAGAAAAGTCATACAAGTGTGATATGTGTAGTAAGGAATTTTCTCAATCATCTACCTTACAGAAACAAAGACGAGTACATACAGGAGAGAAGTCATACAAGTGTGAGATGTGTAGTAAGGGGTTTCCTCGACAAGATCATCTGCGCATTCATCAAAAGACACATACAGGAGAAAAAACATGCAAGTGTGATGTCTGTAGTAAGGAATTCTGTTATTTCTCTGAGCTGCAGAAACACCTGGGCACACATACAGGAGAGAAGTCATACAAGTGTGACGTTTGTGATGCAACATTTTGTCAATCATCTAGATTACAGACACACAGACGAGTACATACAGGAGCTCGAGAAAACCTTTACAAGTGTGTGATATGTACTAAGGGGTTTCCCTGACCAGATCATCTGCGTAGACATCAAAGGATACATACAGGAGAGAAACCGTACAAGTGTGATATCTGTAGTAAGGAATTCTCTGTATCATCTAGCTTACAGACACACAGACGAGTACATACAGGAGAGAAACCGTACAAGTGTGATGTATGTAGTAAGGAATTTTCTCAATCATCGCGTCTACAGAGACACAGACGAGTACATACAGGAGCTGGATCAAACCTTTACAAGTGTGAGATATGTACTAAGGGGTTTCCCCGACCAGATCATCTGCGTAGACATCAAAGGATACATTCAGGAGAGAAAGCTTACAAGTGTGATGTCTGTGGTAAGGAATTTTCTCAATCATCGCGTTTACAGAGACACAGACGAGTACATACAGGAGAGAAGCCATACAAGTGTGATGTATGTAGTAAGGAATTTTCTCAATCATTCAGCCTACAGACACACAGACGAGTCCATACAGGAGAGAAGCCATACAAGTGTGATATCTGTAGTAAGGAATTCTCTATTTCAGCTAACCTACAGACACACAGGCGAGTACATACAGGAGAAAAGCCATACAAGTGTGAGATATGTACTAAGGGGTTTTCCCAACAAGTTAATCTGCGCAGTCATCAAAAGACACATACAGGAGAGAAAGCTTACAAGTGTGATGTGTGTAGTAAGGAATTTTCTAAAGCATTCAGCCTACAGAAACACAGACGAGTACATACAGGAGAGAAGCCATACAAATGTGTGATATGTGTGATATGTACTAAGGGGTTTCCCCGACAAGATCATCTGCACATTCATCAAATGACACATACAGGAGAGAAGCCATACAAGTGTGAGATATGTACTAAGGGGTTTCCCCGACAAGATCATCTGCGCCGTCATCAAATGACACATACAGGAGAGAAGCCATACAAGTGTGATGTCTGTAGTAAGGAATTATATGTATCATCTAACTTACAGACACACAGATGAGTACATACAGGAGAGAAGCCATACAAGTTTGATATCTGTTGTAAGGAATTCTCTGTATCAGCTAACCTACAGACACACAGACGAGTACATACAGGAGAGAAGCCATACAAATGTGTGATATGTACTAAGGGGTTTCCCCGACAAGAGCATCTGCGCCGTCATCAAATGACACATACAGGAGAGAAGCCATACAAGTGTGATATCTGTAGTAAGGAATTCTCTGTATCATCTACCCTACAGACACACAGATGAGTACATACAGGAGAGAAGCCATACAAGTGTGATATCTGTGGTAAGGAATTCTCTGTATCAGCTAACCTACAGACACACAGACGAGTACATACAGGAGAGAAGCCATACAAGTGTGACATCTGTAGTAAAGAATTCTCTGTATCAGCTAACCTACAGACACACAGACGAGTACATACTGGAGAGAAGCCATACAAGTGTGATGTCTGAAGCAAGGAATTATTTAGTTTTCTATTCTAAATGTATACACCTGAAACCCACAGATATTAAAGATTACATACCGGGAGAAGTCTTATGTTTGTTCTCAAATTCCACATAAAAGTTCCCATGGTCCATGGTTCTACTTGCCATGGTGGGAAGGCAAAGATGGCCAACATGTAGCTATTTTGAATTTCGAGAGTTAAAAGTTAAAAACTGTTAGTGCTACTTCTCAAAAAGGGCCAAAGAAATCTTTCTCATATTTCACATGAAGGTTCTCCATGGTCTCTGGTTTTTGCATTTCAAATTTTGGGACTGATTGGGGGGAAAAGATGGCCGACAGGTGGCCATCTTGCAATTGGAGAGTTGGAGTTTATGAGGGAAATATTTCAGAAAGGAATGGAGGGATATTTCTCAAATATCGCTTGAAAGTGTCCCATGGACCCTACCTAAGTATATTGAGTTTAAGGACTGACGGGAAAACCGAAATGGTTGCCTATCTATTAGCCATCTCAAATTTTTAGAGGTAAAGATTGGTAGAGCTTTTTCTCAGATTATACGGGAGGGATCTTTCTCAAATTTCACATGAATATCCCCCATGGTCACCAGTTATCCATGCTTAATTTTACTGATGGAAAAACCAAGATGGTCGTTGGATGTTTTTAGCACAGTTTCGAATTCTCAGAAAGTACTGGAGAGGTAGTTCTCGAATGTATACATCAGGTTCCCAGTGGTCTTGACTAAAATGCATATCGATTTTGGAACCGATTTAAAAAAAAAGGATGTCACTATCATAATTATTTTCCTCTTGATACGGGGATCCCCTTTGTAACAGAGGTCATTATTTTTTCAATGTCTCTGCTTGGAGTCGAACCCCGGACCTCTGGGTTACTAGTCTAACGCTCTACCGAATTAGCTAAAGATAAATTCTTCGTAGCCGAGTCGGTAGGAAGTGGCTAGTATTCTACCAGGGTGACGCCTTGTTAAAAATACCCCTGGCTCCCATGATAATTCATCTGTCATTGTCAGCACTTTAAATTCCATAAGAATTACCAATTTTGAGCATTTTGCATATAGTGTTGATGCAATTCTTATACAATAACATTTGTTATAGTGGCAAATGACATTAAAAGGTTTACGTGAATGTAAAAGATCCCCGTTCCCATTAAGGATTAACCAACATGGGTCTGGTGGGGGGCTAAATTAAGTTGGACGCAATTTGTGGAAACTGAAAGTCGCTTATATAAGCATGTTTCATTTCTTCTGTTACTTGTCTTGGTTCGTTCTGAATAATTTCATTAATAATACTTTTAAGTAGACCAAGCAATGCATGGAAGAGTTGACTGAAGTTACATAGGGGTGAAAGGGTTAGCATTCTTCAGATTAATTATGTCCGAGATCGGTACCCATATAAATATGTTTCATTCCTGCTGGGTTTTTTCTGGGTTCCTTCTGAATAAGTTCGTTAATAATGATTTTAAATTCCTTTGGGTTATTGTTTGATATGTGCTGTAATTCATTCCCAAACATGAATAACAGGCCCATGGGACATGTATATCTCACCTGGATAGGAATGTTCATGGACCCAAATAACCTTTTCACCACTGTAGACCAAGCTGGACGAATCAATAGTAATGCATGGAAGAGTTTACTTAAGTTACATAGGGGTGAAAGGGTTAGCATGCTTCAGAGTAAATATGTCCGAGATCGGTACACATATAAATATGATTACATTTGTATATAGGGTTAAGATCGAAATAATTTTAACATAAATACAACAAACTAAACCCCCCAGAGGCAGGCCAAGATCCCATGCCTGATCTTAGTAGTACACCTGTGTTGTTGACTTCATGCTAAGTGATTGAGGGACTATCAACCATTTCACAGTTAAGACATAATAACTAAGTAAATGTTCACATTACCGGTCCATTTTAATCGTTCTCCTGGACCTTATTATGGAATTGAAAAAAATATCTTAAAGCCATAACTATGCCATTTTTAACACTTGTCGGTTGTCAAAGTTGACGTTTTGACTCTTTAGAAAACTTTGCGTGATATTGACCCTGAAAGTACAAATAAGGGAAATTTGTATGAGAAAACGTAATGACACTCTTTTACTAGGTAACAACTGGCCAACAATCAAGACCCTGGGCCTAATGGAAATGCAAAGAAAGACTTAGCTTTCTACCAATTTAGCCAATGTAAACATTAAACTTTAGCCAACACTAAAAGTTGACTTTTGACCTTAACGATTTGCACTGCTGGTCTACATTTGTATATCGTATACTCTGGTAACCAAAAATCATTGCTAAAGGCCGTCATTTACATTAGGAAACTACAGTACTCCACCCAAAGTACATGTACTTACTGGCTGTTCATCAGTTCTTCAAAATAAGTGTTGACAGACATACATGAGATATGCTGCACCATACTATTATCCTCGAAATTCCAGGGGTCATGGTCACTTACATTTTCTGCACCTCTGGAATATGTCATGAAAAAACGGAAGGCTTGTGGATGCTTTGATGTAGATCAAAAGAATTGCACGACAGTGTAAAGGTAACATTGACTGGCTTTGAAATGGGATGTCACTCCTCTTTGAGTTTAACGAACGGGTTCTGGTATCAGCCTAGTGATTGGTCAGCTTTTTACAAATCAAATAGCTATCATGTACCTTTGATTGTGCAACATTTCCCTAGGTGCGGAGAATGTACATGAGCGTAACCCCTGAAAGTTTGAAGATGCCGAACCATCAGCACAGATCTAGATACACCTTGTAAGTATGAACACTTTGCTTCTCTATACAGTTGGACAGTGTAAGTCTGGACACTTTGCCTCTCAAACTAACTATGTTCGAATATTTATTTTTCAAGACCAGAAGTGGCGTTTTGTATGAATAAATAAATGAACGAACAAATTAATGAATGAAAGTACGAATGAATGAATGATGTATGAAATGAAGAAGTTTGTAACTGTTTGCATGTTTACAGATAAAGACTGCTAAAAACAAATCACACGTGATCGTCTTTTCTGTTTTTCTCTCTCTTAAAGTCAAGACATGGCACATACCCGTTTTCCGTCAATCAACTTGTTTGCTAAATCGTGAAACTGAGGTACCTAAATCACTCTATCATATTGTCTACCTAAATAATAAACCATTTTTTGCTCTGAGAGCCACAGTGGCCAAGTGGTTAAGGCGTCTGACATTATGCTACCACTAGCCCTCCACCGTTGGGTCGCGGGTTCGAGGCCTACGTGGGACAGTCGCCAGGTACTGGCCGTAGGTCGGCGGTTTTTCTCCGGAAACTGCGGGCTTTCCTCCACCACCAAAACCTGGTGCGTCATTAAATGACCATGGCTGTTAAAAGGACGTTAAACACAAACAAACCAAAAGCACTAGCTTCTCTATACAGTTGGTCATTGTCAGTCTGGACACTTTGCTTCTCTCTCTATACAGTTGGACAGTGTAAGTCTGGGCACTTTGCTTCTCTAGACAGTTGGACAGTGTCAGTCTGGACACTTTGCTTCTCTACACAGTTGGACATTGTAAGTATGTACACTTTACTTCTCTATGCAGTTGGACATTGTAAGTGTAGACACTTGCTTCTCTATACAGTTGGACATTGTGAGTGTAGACACTTTACTTCTCTATATAGTTGGACATTGTCAGTAGACACTTTGCTTCACTATACAGTTGGTCATTGTCAGTCTTGACACTTTGCTTCTCTATACAGTTGGTCATTGTCAGTCTGGACCCTTTGCTTCTCTATACAGTTGGACATAGTAAGTGTAGACACTTTGCTTCAATACACAGTTGGACATTGTAAGTATGGACACTTTACTTCTCTATACAGTTTGACATTGTAAGTGTAGACACTTTACTTCTCTATTTAGTTGGACATTGTAAGTGTAGACACTTTCCTTCTCTATACAGTTGGACATTGTAAATATGTACACTTTACTTCTCTACACAGTTGGACATTGTAAGTATGTACACTTTACTTCTCTATGCAGTTGGACATTGTAAGTGTAGACACTTTCCTTCTCTATACAGTTGGACAGTGTCAGTCTGGACACTTTGATTCACTATACATTTGGACATTGTAAGTGTAGACACTTGCTTCTCTATACAGTTGGACATTTTAAGTGTAGACACTTTACTTCTCTATTTAGTTGGACATTGTAAGTGTAGACACTTTCCTTCTCTATACAGTTGGACATTGTAAGTATGTACACTTTACTTCTCTATGCAGTTGGACATTGTCAGTCTGGACACTTAACTTCTCTATACAGTTGGACATTGTCGGTCTGGACACTTTACTTCTTTATACAGTTGGTCATTGTAAGTGTAGACACTTTGCTTCACTACACAGTTGGACATTGTAAGTATGTACACTTTACTTCTCTATGCAGTTGGACATTGTCAGTCTGGACACGACACTTTGCTTCACTATACAGTTGGTCATTGTCAGTCTTGACACTTTGCTTCTCTATACAGTTGGGCATTGTCAGTCTGGACACTTTGCTTCACTATACATTTGGACATTGTCAGTCTGGACACTTTACTTCTCTATACATTTGGACATTGTCAGTCTGGACACTTAACTTCTCTATACAGTTTGACATTGTAAGTGTGACACTTTACTTCTTTCTCTATACAGTTGGACATTGTAAATATGTACACTTTACTTCTCTATACAGTTGGTCATTGTCACTCTGGACACTTTGCTTCTCTATACAGTTTGTCATTGTCAGTCTGGACACTTTGCCTCTCTATACAGTTGGTCATTGTCAGTCTGGACGCTT